TCAGCATTCTCGCACGCTATGTTGCTCCTGGGAGACACCGACCAGAGCACATGGCTGCAGCGAAGAGGGTGTTGCGCTACTTGTGCAGTACGTCGGGCATGGGGCTACTGCTTGGAGGGCGCAGTCCAGTGGTCCTCACTGGGCACGCGGACGCTTCTTGGGCTGACAACCAGGCTACGCAGCGGTCGTCACAGGGTTACACCTTCGGCCTTGGTTCCGGCTCTGTTTCGTGGCGGGCTACTCGCTCGTCTTCTGTTCTCGGCTCCAGTTGTGAGGCTGAGATCTACGCCGGGGCTATGGCTGCTCAGGAGCTTCGCTGGCTCACCTACCTGCTGACCGACCTTGGAGAGACGCCTCGTTCTCCTCCAGTCCTGTACGTAGACAACAAGGCCATGCTGGCCTTGTGTCGAGAGCAGCGATTGGAGCACAGGACAAAGCACATTGCTCTCCGCTACTTTCTTGCTCGTGAGCTACAGCAGCGTGGATAGTTGTGACTTGCGTACGTGGCCTCTGAGGCCAACACTGCTGATGTCTTCACCAAGGCACTTGCGCCTTGTGATCATCAGCGTTGCTGCACGCAGCTGGATCTTGTGCCTGTCTTGCCTCACTTGCTCACTTCTTGACCTTGCTTGTACCTTGACCTATATATACTCTTGCTCTTGCTTGCTTGACTCTTGTATATCTCTATATATGATCTTGCATGCGAACTGGCCTTGTGGCCCTTGACCTTGCGCTCGGAATGTGTGGTGACTTTGTGATCCACCCTGAGCTTTGCTTTGCTTGACTGGTCTTGTGACCCCTTGTTCTCCCCCACTTTGCCTATGGGGGTGTGTCAGAACATTATAGCTTACTTATTTGTGTAGGCTATAGTGGGGTATCCCATAGGGGGTACAACCCAGTCAGGGTTTCATATTTGTACTCACTTCATTCATAGTTCATTCATTCTCGTTCACTTCTTCTCAAGGTCGTATGGCATGGTATCTTTGTATTGCTCCAACACCTCTTTCACTACTGCAGGTAGCTCCGAACTCGGCTTCTCCTTCTCTGCTACTGCCATAACTAATGCTACGTAGCCTATGTTACTCTCGTTCACTGTTTGTTCGAATCATGCAAGTGTCGTTTCAAGAACGTCCCCTGTATCCGTCCTGCTTCGCAACTCCACGCGTTTCATGTTGTTGTAGATGCACGCCTTCCGGTTGTCCCAGTTGAACCGCTTCAAAAAATCAAACCGCCAGCGCCCACAGCGGCCACTAAAACCGAGTCTTGAAAAAACCGGGGGGCGACGACTCTTGAACACCAATTTTTGGTATGTAAAACCGGTTCCGTGTTTTTCACTCACCCTCGATTTTGGCTTCCAAACGCACAATGTCAGGCATGGAGGGTCAAGGCAACAACTACACGACGACGAGCGACATCGCCAGCCTTTGCACCTACATGGAACAGACACAAGCGGCGATTCGGCGAATCGAGGCCCTTCTGACAAACCAATCTGCAGCCGCCACCGCAGCTGTCATTGCAGCAGCAAACGTAGCAGGGACAGCAGCAGCAGCGGCGGGGACAGCGACATTCACGGACCGATGGCACACCTTCGCCGAACCTCGAAGCAGCTCACCCGAGGCTTTCCTAAGCGTTAGATCCAAGCGCAAAGGGATCGGATTTTCGACGATTCGTGGCGACCCTCCAAATTTATTTTGAGGTCATTAGCTGTTCGACCCCGACACACGATGCAGCACAAATTCGGCTCGCAGAGACATTGTTGCGGGGACCAGCACTCATTACACTGACGTGGATTTATTACAGTGACGTGGCCCGCGGGGAGAAAACGTGGCCGCAGTTTCCGGCAGACCTCATCAAACGACAACCTACATCGCGCGGCAGCAGATACACCGACACAAACAATACAGTAGTGTAGCAAAGTAGACGCAGCAGATGGAGCTACTATTCAACCGCATCACTGACCGACTGAAGGCAAAAAAATCCAAGGGTACACAGAAGGGCTAAAAATGGAGATTCGCCGACAAATCATCGGAGCGAACTACAGTAGTTACCGCGACATCGTGCGTGCTGCTGCACGATACGACACTTTGACTTGTGGTCAACCCGAAACACAACGTTACGGGCCAAACCGTACATTTGGCACGGAGCGATCGTCACCCCCACGTTCCCCGAACCGATGGATATGGACAAATTTGATGCAAAGAAGCAAACGACAAAATGCGTTTTTTTCGGCGCAGCGAGGCATCAAATTTTGTCGTGCTACAAAATGAAGAAGGCATTGTCAAACATATGTTTATATGTTATACTATAGGTAGGCTTTAGCGGGGTACTCACTATGGGGTACAACCCCTTAGGTTTCACTTTTGTACCAAACTTCTCGATAGTTGAGCCTTCCCCTTTGCCTTAGTCTTAACATGGTAACTAGAGCAGGAGGTCTCTAGGACCTAAGAATCGGGCCCACCTAACTGTGTTACCCTACCTATCGCCTACCTGCCTTGCCTACTGCCCGCGCGCGCCTGGACTGCAGCACGCGTCATCTTTTTTTCGCGCGCGCCTCGGCTGTTAGCGCGTGCGTCACTATTTTTTAGCGCGCGCGTCACTGATTTTTAGCGCGCGCCACTGCTGCACTGCCGCGCATTTCGCGTCGAGCCCGCGCAGCTCACTGCCGTGCGCAGCCCGCCGTCGCGTGCAACCCGCTGTTGCCCGGCGCGCCGCGTCTGTCGCCAGCACGTGTCAGAATGTTATGTTTGTCTAGCCTGCAGTGGGGTAGTCAATAGTGAGTACAGCCCAAATTAGGGTTTCCTATATGTACTCAACTGCTTGCTAGTGAGCCCCCTCTTCTTCATTCTCGCTCATTTCTTCACATGCTATCAGAGCATCTACGCTCCTAGCCTGTGGTCCCACCTAACTACTTCCGCTGCTACTCTGTGTTTGGCACGCCCCGTGGCGTGCCCCTCGCACTACTCTTAGCGGCCCCGTTGCCGCCCTTCTAGGCCCCTCGCGGCCCATTCGCGGCCCCGTTGCCGCCCTTCCAGGCCCCTCGCGGCCCCTTCGCGGCCCCATCGCCGCCCCTTTTGCGGCCCGTCGCCGCCCTTCCAGGCCCCTCGCGGCCCCTTCACGGCCCCGTCGCCGCCCCTATCGGCCCCGTCGACTCCGCCAGCGGCCCCGTCGCCGACCCTAGCGGCCCCGTTGCCGCTCCTATCGGCCCCGTCGCCGCCCCTATCGGCCCCGTCGACGCCGCCAGCGGCCCCGTCGCCGACCCTAGCGGCCCCGTCGCCGCTCCTATTGGCCCCGTCGCTGCCGCCAGCGGCCCCGTCGCCGACCCTAGCGGCCTCGTTGCCGCTCCTATCGGCCCCGTCGCCACCGCCAGCGGCCCCGTCGTCGCCGCCAGCGGCCCCGTCGCCGCCTCCAGCGGCCCCGTCGCCGCCGCTTGCGGCCCCGGCCTTGTCAAAACATTATAGCTTATACATTTGTGTAGGCTATAGTGGGGTAGCCCATAAGGGGTACAACCCAATTAGGGTTAGTACTTGTACCCAACTGTTTCATAGTTCATTCATCCATTCTCACTTCTCGTCATGGTATCGAACATTACGGCCCCTTCGCGCCGCCTTCTACTGCCCCTCGCGCCGCTCTTACGGCCCCGTCTGGCCCCATACGGCCCCGCTTAGGCCCCTTACGGCCCCGTCGCGACCTCGCCTAGGCGCCTTACGGCCCCGTTGCGGCCCCGCCTAGGCCCCTCCGCGGCCCCGTCGTGCCCCTAACGGCCCCGCCTAGGCCCCTTACGGCCCCTTTGTGGCCTCGCCTAGGCCCCTAACGGCCCCTCCGCAGCCCCGCCTAGGCCCCGTCTGGCCCCTTACGGCCCCTTAGGGCCTCGCCTAGGCCCCTTACGGCCCCTCCGCGGCCCCACCTAGGCCCCCCCCCCCCCCCTCCGCAACCCCGTCTGGCCCCTTACGGCCCCTTTGCGGCACCGCCTAGGCCCCTCCGCGGCCCCGTCTGGCCCCCTTTACGGCCACGTCTGGCCCCTTACGGCCCCTTTGCGGCCCCGTCGCCACCTGCGGCCCCGTCGCCACCTGCGGCCCCAAGAACACCTGCGGCCCCACCGCCACCTACGGCCCCGTCGCCACCTCCGGCCCCGCCGCCACCTGCAACCCCGTCGCCACCTGCCGCCCCGCCGCCACTTGCGGCCTCGCCGCCGCCTGCGGCCCAGCCGCCCAGCGTCCGCACCGCCCAGCAGCCGAACCGCCGGCCAGTTGAGCCGCCCGACCGCCGAGCCGCCTAGCAGCCGAGCCGCCCAGCACCGAGCAGACGAGCCGCCCGACCGCCGAGCCGCCGAGCAGCCAAGCGGCCCAACCGCCGAGCCGCCGAGCCGCTCGACCGCCCCTCTTGCCTGGTAAGAGCGCATTCTCTGCCATTGCACTGCCCTACCCTACTGTACTCACTACCTGCCTACTGCTGTTATGGCCTCCCCTAGCGTTCTCACCTTTGACGTTGATGGTAGGGCAGTGGACTTTGAGGTCTGGGTAGATGATCTACACCTTTTCCTGCAGTGCGATAGGGCAGACGGCCTCTCCATGTTTGACCTCACTTCTGGTGCCTCCCCTGCCCCTGCTGCTGATGCTGACGCCACTGTTCGCTCACAGTGGGCCATGCGCGATGCTGCTGCTCGCCTTGCTGTGCGCCGCCACTTACTGACCACTAAGCGTGGACACTTTAGCTAGTACAAGAGTGCTCAGACCTTGTACGACGCTGTAGTTGCACGCTACTCTTCCCCTGCCACTGCTGCACTGAGCCGCCTCATGCTACCGTACCTCTTCCCTGACCTTGGTGCCTTTCCCACAGTCGCTGACCTCATTACGCACCTCCGTACTAGTGACACTCGCTACCGCGCTGCGCTTCCTGCTGAGTTTTGCGCCAAGAACCCCCCCCCCCCCCCCCCCCATCCCCATGTATATCACCCTCTACTACATAGTCACCCGGCTCCCTGACTCTCTTCGGGTAGTCAGGGACCACATCCTCTCTGTTTGCCCCACCACTCTCACCGTTGACCTCCTCGAGGAGGCCCTCCTAGCGATAGAGAAGAGCATAGTCGCTGTAGGAGCTCCTCGTGGTGACCCTCGCACCCCCGTCTTTGAGGGGTCTTCTCCCTCCCCCCTCTTGCCCTCTGTTGCCTCTGCTGGTGCGGCCGACCTCGTTGGTTTCGAGTCGGTCGGCGCTGCGTCTGCCCCGAGCGAGAGACGCCGCACCGGCAAGGGCAAGGGGGGAAAGGGCGCTGGAGGAGCTGGAGGGGGCAGTGGAGGTGGTAGTGGAGGCAGTGGAGGGAGTGGGGGTGGAGGTGGGAGTGGTGTTGGGGGTGGAGGTGGGAGTGGTGCTGGGGGTGGCACCGGCGGCGGCAGCAGTGGAGGCGGCGGAGGCGGTGGAGGTGGCGGAGGGAGCGGAGGCGGCGGGGGTAGTGGAAGAGGCGGAGGTGGAGGAGGCGGCGGAGGCGGCGGAGGTGGCGGCGGCGGTGGAGGTGGCGGTGGTGGAGCGATTCGCGACTCTGCGCAGAGGAGTGGCGCCGGTGGTGGTCAACGCCAGCAGCAGATGCGGAGTGGTGTGACCCTGTCCCCTCAGCAGCTTCGTGAGTGGTACACTGTGCGTCAGCGCGGTGGGGGTTTTGGTCCCTGCTCTTACGTCCTCCGTACCGGCGACCGCGCTGGTGAGTAGTGTGGAGGCCTGCACTCCACCCAGCGCTGCTTTGGTCGCCTGACGGACGCGTGGCGTCGCCAGATCCCTAAGGCGTCAAAGATCTCTTGCTAGGGAGATCTGGCTAAGGCCGGGGTTGCTATCTTTGATCTTGACTTTGATGCTATCCTTGCTGCCATGTATGCTGTTGATACTGGTGTTGTGGGTGATTGTTGCCTGTGTGTACCGCCTGACCAGGGCATTGAGGCTGCTGCTCTAGGTGCTGGTGAGGCTCTTGCTCTAGGTACTAGTGCGTCTACTGCCCCAGGTGCCAGTGCGTCTGCCGCCCCAGGTGCTGGTGAGTCTACTCTCTCAGGTACTACGTCGGCTCAAGCCTTCCACACCTTCACCCTGGACTCGGGTGCGTCCCGCTCCTTCTTACGAGACCGCACCACTCTTTCGCGCTTAGTCGCCCGGTTGCAGTCTCCCTGGCAGACCCCTCTGGGGGTGCTGTCCTTGCTAGCTTCTCCACTATCCTTCCGTGCCCGGCAGCCCCCTCTCGCACCCCTTCTGGTCTCTACATCCCCTCGTTCTCTACGAACTTGGTGAGTGGAGCGACAAACAGGATCGAGGGGTTGACCAATTCACTCCTTCGAGTCAGCGGGTGACCCACTGCTCGTGTGCTCGGACAGGCCGACACTTGGCCACGTTCACCCGTCGGCCAGGGTCGAGCCTGTACACCCTTACTACTGAGTCTCGCCCTACTGCTGAGTCTGCCAAGGTAGCTGCGTCGAGTCAGGTGTTTGCTGCGGCGTCCAGGTCTGGTCCTGAGTCTGCTCCCTGCTCGTGTCGCCTGCTGTCCTACCAGACTCTCCTTTGGCACCACCGCCTTGGTCACCCCTCCTTGCCTCGTCTCCGAGGCCTGGCCTCCCGTGTCCTTGTCTCTAGTCTCCCTCGGTCTCTCCCTCCCCTTCCTCCGGGGCCTGGCCCTACCTGCGTCCCTTGTGTCGAGGGGCGACAGCGCGCCACCCCTCACTCCTCCGAGTTTCCTCCGACAGAGGCTCCGGTGCAGACTCTCCACATGGACATGCAAAGGCAAATCAAGACGAGTATAAAAGGTATAATAAGAAGCCTTGTGTAGAGGCTCATTCTGGGGATCCTAACTTGCGAGTAATCATTTGTGTCCCATCAACCAAAAAGTGAGGTACAACATTTCTGGTAAATTCTGTATCACCCTGATTTTTCAACCTGGAGGAGATTACCATGTGAAGTACGTAGTAATATCCTGATTGAATTACCGCAACCCCATATTTTGGTTGATTTATTGGACTCAGGAGCTGCGTGCTAGTGTAACTCAATCGGAAGTAACTATCGTAGTACTCCGGATAAAAGACCCGGACCCGGGGTTATAAGAATCCCGCCAAGAATTAAGACCCGGTTCTTATAATAAGGGCATGTATATTACTTAAATGAACAGTATGTGCTCTTTTTTAGCATACAAAAGAAAAACGCAGAATGGACTCCACGGCCGTTGAAGGCACGTCACCCAGCAAACATGCTGGGTGCCTTCTCCCATTGGTCCTAAAACGTGGTTACCACATCACAATCTTGCGGGGCCCAATGAACCGATGCCTAACTACGTCGTCCTTACACCTCATGCCCGCAGCCCAATTTGTTCAGGTTTTATAAAGGTGGAAGGTTAGGGGGTTCAGTTTTGGGTGTCAAACATATATGACATAGTCTGTGTAGGCTGTAGTAGGGTAGACTATATGGGGTACAGCACTACTAGGTTTTCTTACTTGTACCCATCTCATTGCTAGTTCAGTCATTCCTATTTCTTCACATGGTATAGGGCGGGTTCCCTAGTGGGACCGTTTCTTCCTAAGGGCCCACCATTTTTTTTTCCTAACCTGCCCGAAGCGCGCTTCGCGCTCTGACCTGCCCTACGCTTTCGCGGCCCCTTAGCGGCCTGCCCTGCTCCTGTGGCCCCTTAGCGACCCCCTTCGTGGCCCCTTAGCGGCCCCTTCGCGGCCCCTTCACGGCCCCTTACCGGCCCCTTCGCGGCCCCTTAGAGGCCCCTTCGCGGCCCCTTCGCGGCCCCTTCACGGCCCCTTAGCGGCCCCTTCGCGGCCCCTTAGCGGCCCCTTCGCGGCGCCTTCGCAGCCCCGCCCAGTTGCCCGTAGCGGCCCCGCCCCATCGCCAGTCGAGGCCCCGCCACGTCGCCACCCGGGTGTCGCCCCTGCCTCGTCGCGACGCCCTTGCGGGACCCGCAAGGCACGGCTCGTGAGCGTCGCGACGCCCCAACGGGACCGGGGCGTTGCCCCCTCTCGTTGCAATGCCCCTGCGGGACTCGCGCGGCGTCGCCCTTACCCACCGCAGCGCCCTGCCCTAACCCGCGCCCGACCTTCGGACGGCCACCCTTGCCCTCCCCCCTGAAGCAGCCGCCCCTGAACCCTGGAGCAGCCGCCCTTGCATCAGTCGCCCCTGGCCTCTGGAGCACCCGCCCCTGGCCTCTGGAGCAGCCGCCCCTACAGCAGCCGCCCCTGGCCCTTGGAGCAGCCACCCCTGGCCCCTGGAGCAGTCGCCCCAACAGCAGCCGCCCCTGGCCCCTGGAGCAGCCGCCCCTGCAGCTGCCGCGAAGCTCTCGCCCTGCAGTGGTAGCGGCCTTGCCGTTGCCGCCGTCTTACGCCTGCCCTTCTCGCCACTGGTGAGCACTGCCTTGCCCGTACTGCTGTTACTGCTGCTCTTGCTGCTACTGCTCTTTCTACTGCTACTGCTACCCCTGGCGTGGCTAGATGCAGCTCCAGCGTCGTCCGCGTGAGTCCCTCATGCCCCAACAGCTTCGTGAGTGGTATGCCAGTTGGGGTTGTCGGAGTGGCAGTAGTAGGAGTCGTCCTTGAGTGGGTAGTTCAGGAGCTTCTTGTAGTGGCCCGGTGTAGCAGCAACGTCGTCCGTACGAGACTCGTTCACCCCAGCAGCTTTGTGAGTGGTACGCTCAGAATAGAGGGTCGCTGAGTACTGCTCGCTGCCCGTACGTTATTCGCACAGGTGTTCAGACTAGTCGGCCTTGCGGGACGCCTGGTCACACAGAGTCCCGCTGCTTCGCCCGTCTGAGCGACGCTTGGCGTACAGAGTTTGGCGACGCCGGTGAGCTCCCCGACTGGGTGGAGCTGCTTAGACAGAGGGTAGATATCTTTGCTCTTGACTAAGATGTTTTTCTCACTGCAATGTATGCATTGTCTACTACTGCCGAGGGAGCCTGTCACGTGTATGTGCCGCCTGACCCCGGTGTCCAGTCTGCAGCTCTAGGTGCTGGTGAGGCTGCTGCTCTAGGTGCTCGTGCGTCTCCTGCTCCAGGTGTCGGTGAGGCTGTGGCTATAGGTGCTAATGAGTCAACTGCTCCAGGTGCTGGTGAGTCTGCTCTCTCAGGTGCTGCGCCTGCCGCGGTTTTTGCACACCTTCACCCTTGACTCGGGTGCTTCCCGCTCCTTCTTTCAAGACCGCACCACCCTCACGCCGCTTAGTCGGCCGGTTGCAGTCTCCTTGGCAGACCCCTCTGGGGGTCCTGCCCTTGCTCACCACTCCACTGTCCTACCGTGTCCGGCGGCCCCGTCTGGCTCCCTGTCAGGTCTTTACCTCCCCTCGTTCTCTACGAACTTGGTGAGTGGTGCTGACCTGCAGGATGGAGGGGTTGACCAGTTCACTCCTACGAGTCAGCGAGTGACCCACTGCACGTGTGCTCGGACGGGCCAACAATTGGCCACGTTTACCCGTCAGCCGGGGTCGAGCCTGTACACACTGACGACCGAGTCTCCTTCGGTTACTGCGTCTGGTCAGGTAGATGCGTCGGGTCAGGTGTTTGTTGCAGCGTCTCGGTCTGGTCCTGAGTCTGCCCCCTGCTCGTGTCGCCTCCTGTCCCACCAAACTCTCCTTCGGCACCACCGCCTTGGTCACTCCTCCCTGCATAGTCTGCGATGCATGGCCTCCCGTGTCCTTGTCTCTGGTCTCCCTCGTATTAGAGACTAAGGATGGAGTCTACGAAGATTAGGTGGCTAAAATTCTCAAAATCGTTGGCTTAGAATTCTGGACAGAAACGTCGACTTCACAAGAAACGACGTCAACGAAAGGTGCACTGTTAAAACTTCACCAAACTTAGATATGTTGTAGCGCTAGTCCGTGGCTACAATTTCCAAGTTGAATCATACGAAACGATGAAGTATTTCTTGAGCTATCAATTTCGGCGCACTAGAGGGTATGCTGCCATAGAATCTTAACTCAATCACAAAGTTCTCACACAAGTTCACAATTACTACACAAGAGAGTTAGAGTAGCAATAAACCAGGTGGGATGGGATGAGGAGGACGAGAGGGAAGGTCCCAAGACAGTCCCCAACCAAGGAAACCCCATGCCACACAATTCCCCTCTCCATAGGCAACCCCACTTTCACTTTTGTCACTTTCCCAACCCATGCCATCCACCTTAACCCAACTTGGCCACACTTGCCAACCTGGTTTGGTATCTCCCAACCACTTGGCAGCATCTACAGTGATGTTGACGAATTTCCCAACCCCCAAAAGTCTGTACCCCATATTGAGTCAACCCCACAACTTCCCATAGTCACCACAACCAAATATCAAAAGCATACGAACTCCAACGTTCGTAACTTTCTTGTTCGTGCTCCGATTGAAGCGATACTTGGTTCGTCGGAAAGCTCTTGAGCAGAGGAGTCACTTCAGATATCTGCTCAAGCCAAATAACATTCACACACACTCAGAAAAATCAAACCACATCAAACACAAATTCTTGCACACGCTCACACCACGCATGCAACGCACGAACATATGATGGGAGGCAGACAGACGTGAATGCATATGATTGCATCACACAACAAACTCCCCCTCTGGCTGCCAACCATCATCCCACATGCCATAGCTCAAGCATGCACCCTCAATGCACACTCATGCCAGCAAGCTTCATGCCCTTCCAATGCTCAGATTCAGCCAGGCGCTTGGTGATGGGTCTTCACAATCTCTAGCCGCACCTCCTTGTCCAGGAGCCTCCTCACCCAGTGCCACTTAGGCCTGATGTGTTTGGTCAGCCCATGAAGACAAGCATTCTTCGCTAGCTTCACCGCTGACTCATTGTCACAGAAAATTACAGTCGGCTCCCTCTCGCACACTCCGATCTCCTCCAACAAACGCCTCAGCCACACCACCTCCTTTGCCCCATGATGCAGGGCCATGTACTCTGTCTCACACGAGGACTGCCCCACCTCGTTCTGCTTCTTGCTCCGCCAGCTCACTGCACCACCTCCAAACAGGCACACATAGCCTCCAATGCTGGTGCCATCCGCCTTCACAGAGTTGAAGCTGGCGTCGGTGTAGCAAGTCAGAAGCATCTCCCCCTTGCCCAAATCAGCTGCACCCCTCTGCAGCCTCTGTCTCACAGCACTGTACTCCAAGCCCACTGATGCTGTAGCGCTCACATAGCGGACCAACCTCTTGGCCGCTTCCAGCTGCTCATGACTGGGGCGTGCAACCACACTGGCAAGCCTGGATGTAGCAAAGGCAATGTCAGGCCGTGTGTGGTTAGCCGCATAATTGAGTGCC